GTATAGAGTCCAGCAGGGTCAGAAAAATTGGTTGCGGGGTCAAAAAAATAGGGGGGGGTTAAAAAAATATGCTACGGGGTGGAAAAAATATGGGGCCCCTGCGGGGCAACATCCCCATGTTGCAACGGTCATGCTGGCACCTGGTTCCCTGGGGCTCCCAAGCACAACCGTCCCGAGACTACACCTGAAGAGGGTCAGACTGAGGAAAATAGATCTGAACCCCTTTGCTCCCTGCTGGCCCCGCCCGGCTGTGGGCTGAATACAAAGGTACCTTGCGCGCGCTCGCGTTTCAGTACGCATGTTTCCCTGCCTCTCCTGCTCAGCACATGGACAGCTTATCAGGATTTTCGTATGATGCATTATGATGCAGTGCTCTCTGACGCTCATATTAGGATTGGGGCACGGTGCCTTTCCTCTGCTCCTCTGCTCATCGTCTTCTGCTCAGCAACTTGACAACATGACACAAGGCCCGGCAACTCAAAATCTGCAACGGCATTCACTGACAAGCATTTGCTAGCAGGGCGTTATTTGCGTGAGTCCGGTTGTGCATTTATAGGCACTGCTGTTTTGAAGGCCCTACAGCCTACCGCAGATCGCCTACATGCAGCAAGCCATCATCAGTCATCTTCTCAGTGAAGGCGTGCCTTTGTGCTCATTTGGGTCAAACCTATGCAAAAGGATCTATGTCTACGCTTTGCCACGTATGGGCTTATTTGCCTTACGTGCATTGCAGCTGTATATAGCTAACGCTGTTCCAAAAAGCTTCACGTTTCCCTCAGCCTCTTTCGAGCCGAGTTTTCTATGTTTTTCTTTCTCTCAGGCGGACAACCAGGCATCTCCCCCACGCCCGTGTTGGGCCTTGTTAGAGATACAGATACATCACCAAAGCTGGGCTCATGTGGAAACACGACCATCAGCAGAGGTGAAAATCAGGTTGACTGTCTCCATACAGTTGCTATGTTGCAGCCCTTGCCTGAGCCTGTCTCTTTGTGCAAAGCCTGCTTTTTGAAGAGTGTCCCTTGGCCTGAGTTAACGCGCCGCGGTACACAGTCTTGCAGTGTTGTCAACAAGTACATGCAGGGACCAATGTAAACCTGGCACGCTACAAATAAAGGAGGGTCAGGGGTGGCAGTTACGCGTTTTTTTATCTCTCTCTTTCTCTCTCCACCTTCTTTCGCTCAGGCTATGGAGGTGGGACGAGGTCTCCCCCTCCGGGCGTCTGGTTGGTTCACCCCTCATCGTTTCAAGAAGACTGGGAGCTGTACCACAAGACGCAGGTTAGGTAGGGCCCATAGATGTGTTACAGGTGCACATCGTGTTGTGGTTTCCCAGCTTTTGAAACTATCTCACAGGACGTGTCCCTGCAAGGTGTACCTCTCCGTCTCTCACTCTGCCCCCCTAAGCACCACGGCTCAAGCCAAGTTTGACTTCGTAGGTGGTGCCCGCAGTGGTTGCATGACACTAGGCTAGTAGAAGCGCGAGAGCTGTGCTTTGGAGATGCGTCATTCTGATTTGCTTGATTCTGCCAAGGCTGCATGTCAACGGTTGGCTAGTAAAATCGGAACAGCCGTGCGTGAAGCTTCCCGGCATCCGGTCGGGCATTGCCAACATCACGAGTCACGTACAGCAGGAGCGAAAACGTGCTGCTTGCAGCCAGCAAACGCATGTGCAATATTGCGCAATAAAATGTCTAGTGAATGTTTCGCCTCTGTGGGGAGCCGCAAACACACTCCATCAGCCCAACACCGAACGCCAGTGATGTCCAGATGCAACCACCACTGCCCAAGGTCGGGCCAGTGACGCAGACAGCTCCACGTCAGGTTTGCAAAGCTGCCGCACGAATCATGTGTCCCGGATCGTTGTGCACCCTTGCGGGAAGAAAGACAAGTGCCAAGAGCTCAAATCGCAAAGTACCAGAGTGTCAGGGTGTTATCAGCTCACGGAAGGAAGGCATAGATGGAGACTCTGCCTTGCACCTATTTCCACCAGCAGCGCCAGACGCAGCCCTTACAAATGGCAGGCGCACAGGGCTCGAGAGGCCACTAATTGTGCCCATGTCAAGGCCCCTTTACTGGTGGAGACGGCACGCGCAAGAGCCAAGCGTGCAGAATGCAAGACTGCAAGTTGAGGAGGATACAGCCAACGCCGCCGACGACCCCTGGCTAGCCGCAGCCTTGCATGCCTTGCGCCAGCCAGCCCCTCAACAGGCAGCTGAGGCCACGGCGGCCCGTTCCACGCGAGCCGTTTTCAAGGCCTGTCTCACTGGGGTCAAGCAGGGGACGCTGCACGTTCCGCGTGCTCAAAACCTAAAAGGTCTCTCCCTCCCTCTATCATCAAAAACCCAAGTTGTCCAAGTCGACCTCGAAGCCCGAAATACAAATCAAAGCAATGACCAACAACCAATTTTCTCAAGCACTGGATGTCTGCACATGAAGAAGAACCCGAAAACGAAAAAGGCAGATCAAAAAGGTACATACATCTAAACTGGTCTGGGATATGCGGTCGTTGGCTGGTCTCGACCTAGTCCTCTAGCTTCCCTTGTTGCGGAGCGATTGTGCGTGAGGGCTGACCTTAATCTGGAATTTGTGTTGTGTAATCTTGTGTATCCCTCACAGGCGCTGGGCTGGAGAGTTGGAAGCGTGACGGACAACATCCCACAAGCATCTGCAGCCCATCTACCTGCTAAATGGGCTGCAAATGCTCGCCGTATGTGGTCTGACGCCTCTAACTCTCCAGCCAGCAAATCAGGACGGTTTTTCAAATTGATACTCGCCTGGCTAAAACCTCTGAAATGAAATCACCAAAACGTAGCACTTGCAGCTTGAACTCATTCCGATGGTGTAAAGGCTGTCTCCCAGCTTCTCAGGGCGGACATAATGCACCTCTGAGGTCGCAGGCGTGGACTTAATCTGAAGCGCACTGCCTGGGGTTCAGGACAAAGGCCTCATCTTGTTGAACTAGTACGCTGCAGGTTTCCAGCGAGGCCTTGGAATCATGCCTTGTAAAATACTTGCAGGCGAATGCCGTAGCGTGGAGTAAATTTGAAAGTCTTGTTTCTGCAAACATTGCAAGCATGGCTCAGCTCAACTTGATGTCAGAAGTCAGCCATCTAGTCTGGACTCAACACGCGTGACTTTGCGTATTGACGTTCTAGACAGGGACCTGCATGACTTGTACCGACTTTTTGATCATACTCTGACTTAGCTTGACCACTCCTTTCGACAGGATATATGCGGCAGTTCGTCAAGCAGCTGGCACATTGCAGAATTGCCCTGCACATTTCTATTCTAATGCACCCTTTCTGCGTGGAATCCTGAATAGCCCGGATCTGATTTCCCATCCGCAGTGAAGCACCACCGCGCCTCGTACTGGGATGAACCCGAGCAGGCATCAGAAGAGCACGTACAAATGGCCTCGTGAAAACAGCTTAATTCAGGACCCAAGGAACTGAGTTCCAAGACAAAAGTCAAGTTTGAAACAGAATGAGCAGCCGGCCTCTTACATAACCTTCAGGGATGGACTACTGCAGAGAGTTCATTAGACAAACCATTAGTCAGTTCTCTCACAATCAGGCCACTTCCAAAAAACACCTTTGTACCGTGCACAAGCAGAGACAAAAGAAGTATCGTGAAACATTTTGCATTGTGAAGAGACACGAGACCTGAGTATCTGAAACCTCTGCCCAAATCTGGTACGCAACAGGCACCAGGCCTTGGATAAATTACCTGATGGAGTCTACAAACCAAGGCCGCCACCCTCATCCAATCCCACACCCCCGACTTTCACCCAGGCCCCGAGAAGCCCAAGCCCGAAGGCGCCCCAACTTCCCGCCCGCGCGCGGGCCAAGGGCCAATACTTGCTGCTTCCCGACTGCTTCCGTGCGCACACGCAACAAACCTCGCCACCTCGCAAATGTCCCGACAGTGCTCGAACCGAGAACTCAGCACTGCGAGCACTGGAGTTATCTAAGAATTTGAACTCAATCTGTTTTCACGCAGGCGGCATTGGCCAGTGGAGCACGGATGGCCGAGAAGAAGGCCTCAAGCGTGGTCTGCGGCCTTGGATGAAATCACAGATTGCGAGTTCGAACACATGAAAAACACACGCTCCAAGGATGAACGCTTCTACCTTTGAGCTGAAGATGCACGCTTGTGTATCGAACGTTCTGGCTTGGAGTTCTGTTCCTCGCCAAGACCCTCCCAGAACTCCTGTTACAAAGGATTGCGTCGGCTTCCTTCTGCTCTGTCAAGATGGTCATTCAGTACTTCTTGAAGCTTCCTCCATTCAGCTCCCAAAGGTGCTCATCAGCCAGCCCTCGCAAGTTCTGAATGCTTTCATCCCTAATGTCAAATGAGACTCAGCAGCCAAACCAAAGGAAACAGTAAGGCAGTAACACTATTTGGGCAGATACCCTTGGCTCCAAAGCTACTGACGGCCCAAGCGAAAAAGTGCGTGATTCTCGTGCAGCAAGCAGAGCAGAATTGCAACAGCGCGTCTAAAACCGCGGTATGCAGCAATGAGTCTGACAGAAAGCCGAGTCATCCTCTTGCAAATTTTGCACACGACCTCCAAAACTTGAAGCATCTGGGAATTTCTTTCTGATTGCAATCCTGCTGGCTTGTCCCTTCACAATTGTCCAGCTGCAACTCTTTTCGCAGAGTGTCACGGTGCACAACTTCGCAAGTTCTGTAACAAACACTCTTTCTGAAGTGGTGCGCAGTCACAGCTGCTTCCTTGAGTCAGCTAAATGCTGCACGTAAAATTTGTGTGCTGATTTGCGGATGTTCGCAAAAAAATCAAAAATCCAAAAATGACTGCATTACGTTTTCTTCCGCGTTTCCGCCAAAAAATCCAAAAATCCAAAAATGCCTCGGTCCAGCTTCCTTGCAGTTTGCGAATTTTCGCAAAAACTTGCAAATTTTCGCAAGAATCTGCAAATTTCGCAAAAATCTGCACATTTTCGCAGAAGTCTGCACATTTTCCCAAGGATCTGCAAATTTTCGCAAAAAGCTACAAATTTCACAAGAATCTGAAAATTTTCGCAAAAAGCTGCAAAAATTCGCCAAAAAACTGTAAATTTTCGCAGAAATTTCTAGATGTTCGCAGTAATAATCTGTCAATTTTGACCAAATTCGGTAAATTTTCGCAAAAATCTGCAAATTCTCGCAAAAAAAATTGTATTTGTATAGATTTTCACAAATTTTGAATTTTCGGGCTCCGGGCCCACTAGCCTATTCAATTTCGAATTTTTGCATATTCGCCCATTCCATCTAGACAGGTGCTTCACCGTAATTGGCATGTTTTCCCATGTTTGCGCAGAAATCGTCAGATTTCAAGAAAAACTCATTTTCAAAAATCGTCTGATTTTCACGAGGATCTGCAAATTACAAATTTATGTGAAAAACTGCACATTTTCGCAAAAATCTACAAATTTCCGCAAGAAGCTGTAAATTTTCCCAAGAATCTGCAAAATTTCCGCAAAAAGTTGCAAATGTTCGCCAAAAAAAAAATGCAAATTGTCGCAAAAATGTGCAAATTTTCGCAAAACATGCAAAACACATACAGCTGCACAATCATGCGTCTCCACCTCCTAGAAAAATCTCTCGCGTTTTAGCAGCCCTGGTTTGGCATGCAGAACTGAAGCAAAAAGTACATTTTTCTCAAGGGTGGTTGTGCAGGGTCTTACATGCAGACAGGTGTCAGAATGCTTGGGGAGGGTGCTGGTCCAACCATAAGAAGCCTGATCAAAACCAGCTATCATAGATCGTATACGTGGCAGGAAATCAGCAACCGACCAATACGCATTCAGTTTCTCAGTCCGAGCCACTGCGCCTTGCCCAGCAAAGGGTCCTGCACGCCCACAGCTGAGCAATGCATTGGCTGAGTTGTTTTCCGTCTGGCATGCTGATCATCCGGACTTCGGTTTAGGGGTACTTGCCGTTTGTTCTGCACTGTTGAGTAACAACAACTGGCTTCTTGCATGCAGGCATGCAAAGCATGTCACCCACCAAAAAACACGCAGACCACATCGCAGTTTTAAGGCTGGCGCTAACTAATTTTGCCCCTCTGCAAACTTGCATCTTGGTAAACCATGGGGGGGTACGTCTAAGCCTTGGGGGTTTGGGGCCCTGGGGGATGTTTTCGGGGCGACTAGTGCCTCCGACACGACCTGCGTGGCAATCATTTGCTTCCTAAGCACAGCATTGCAATTGCAAACACGACTACTGCAACTGCATCTACTGCAAAGCATGCAGTCAAGTCACATGAAGCGGCGCAGGCGGTGCAGTGAGTCATCTAGAACCTATGGGCAACCAAAGCCCAGGACGGCCGTCATCCCTTCTACCTTTTGTTTTACTTCCCAAAGACCCACCACCATCCAGACTGCGCGGATTGCTCCAGACTTCCATGCTCTTAGACCCCAAGAGCTAGCTGCCAATGGCGACTGCATTGGCTTTCACTCACGCCCTGGCTGTCATGCAGAAACCTAGAGCTTCAACACAAGCATGTGGCTCTGCTCGATGCACGAATCAAAAAAACGCAAACCAAACCAGGATCCGAAATCAATATCTTGATCTGCAAATGCGCATGTTGCCTATTTACTCTTCCAGGCATCCCCTTCCATCGCTAGGTAGGAAACCTTTGTTCCACAACATCTGTTGAAGGCCCTGCGCTACCCCGCACCACAATTCTTCTCGGACAACGTCAGGACAATGTGAATTATGAAAGTCCCATGCCACTGCTGCCACTCGCCAAACAAGCCAGTGGGTCAACATAAACTTTCTCAGCGAGGTCGTGCCGAGGGACCTACGCACGCCAGCCAGCCCTTGACCAGTCCTCACATCATCCTCGCTGAACTTCCATTTTTTGAAGCCAAGACCCGAGTGCAAATTTGAGCTGAGCCACGCCAGTCGGGGGCGTTCCGGTCAGCCAGGAATGCCGGCAAGCGCTGCGTGCTGTCATGCGTTCCGAGGGATTCCTCAGAGAGTACTCAGACTCATGCGATGACTTCCTGGGAGGAAAATGGGCTGATCCTCAACGAGATGTGCCGTTGTTGGCATGAGCTCCGCATTAAGTGCTAGATGAATCCCGATAGCAGGACGGAGGTTCAGATAATTCAGATCGCAGCTAAGCTCGGCAGAGCCTTTTGCAGCCTCCCTCAGCGAGTCAAGAATTCTGAGAACAAAACAAAGCTCAGTATTTGGAATCTGGAAACATTGAAGCCCTGTTGGCTCGTTGGCACCGTTGGCACCGCAGACCCTAAAAATTGAGAAAGTATGCCACTGATAAGTCTTCGTGGTATTATGGACAACTGACATGGTATTGTCCCTAGCAATGGATGGGCGCATTGCTAAGCCTGAGGTCCCAACAAACAGCTTCGAGCGCTGCTGTTGTAATTATATATCTGTTTACATATGATCTGTAAACAAAAAACAAACTCAAGTTGATGATGAAACGGGGAACAGAAAGAGGGAAAAACCTCCTTCAGAGGGAAAAGATCCCTCGTCGGGCCACGGCCCCACTGGCACAGCGACAGTCACATCGCTTCAGACCGAGGCGGGGTCGGGAGTAGGGGTGGGTGGAGGTCACTGGCAGTGGCGGCAGTGGCGGCAGACTTCTGCTCTGCAAATATGATGAGACACCTCTTAAGTTCGAGTGCTGAAAAAGGTGAAACCCCGCACCGGCATCTTCAGAAGACATGGCAAACCGTTGCCTTTCTTGTACCCTCTCATTAGATTATCTCAGGATGCCAGGGATACCCCTAGCAGTAGCAAGGCGCATCATGAACTGAAGACCTTTGCTTAGACCGCGGCCCCTGAGTAGATCTCCCCAGTGCACCTTATGATCCCTAACTCCGTTCAGCTGCGTTGCATTTTCAGAAGCTCACGGACTATTGCCTTGCCATCTTGGGAGATCATTGACCAATCCTGCACACATATGCCACTCGTGGGTGGAATTGCCCAAGGCGCATGATGTCCCAGGCATCATCCTCAAAATCAACGCGCCCAAGACCCAAGTCTGACAGCCCTCAGAAATGGCACAGTCTTCTAGGCTCAGTCACCGATTAAAGCAAGTATAACATTTCAAGGCTTGCAATGCAGTGTGCTCCCTGCCCTGATGGCCTGGCTGGGGAACGCAAAGTTGCCTCGCTTGATGGCGCTCGTGGTCCGCGGCAGGTCCTCTCAGGCAGATTTAAAATAGCTTGCTGGCTCCAAGCTCGACAATCTTTCCAAAAAGAATTGAAGAGTAGCTGGTTGTATCCTGCAGCCCCGTCTTGTCCAAAATTCCTACTTTCTGGATCTTTCTAGCACCAACAAGGACAAGACCTTCGGAAGAATGCACAACTGTGAAAAAACCTATTAGGTGTCCAGTTTGTCACTCCGGTATTCAATGGGGGAGGGCAGGGAGAATTTGGGCGCTGACATGATCGTACGAGTGAAACCTGGGTCGTCGGAGCAAATTATCCGGAAAAGATCCGGCAGCACAACTGCAGCTGGCTGCTGAAACAGACTCTCTTTCCAGGTCTTGCCGTGCCTGTTCGTGCCAGAATGGGGGGTATCCAGAAAGCCTGTCACACAGCAGGAGTGGCAAGTGCGTTGCGCATGGGCTCTGATCAGCATGCACGGTGTTGAGTCACTGATTCACGTCCGACCTTTGACACAGCGACGGGTTAGAAACTTGAAAGATGTTGAGCCTGCAGAGTCTGCTACGCATTGCGCCTATTCCTAGATCGAAGCATGTGAGCCATGCAGTCATGCTCTGCCCTGCAAGCAGGGCAAGGTTCCTGCATCCACACTATTGTGGAGCTGAAACATGGGTTGCGCTGAGACATCCATCACACAGTTTAGTTTAGCAAAGCCAGCCCCGTGCCGACATCGGCAACATGGAAAATCATGGAAATTTGTGCCCAGCTTTTTTCGTTCTTCCGTGACTTGCAATTTCAGCCTAGCTCTCCACCTTTCCATTACTGCACTGAGCCTTCGCAATGACCAGCAGAGATGCGTGGCCCGGCACGATAACAGGCGGCATCAGGTGTAAGTACAGCTGCTGACATTCCCAAATATATTGGGGTAGGGGAACAGCCTTTCAAAGTCCAAAAGTAAGGGGCAGGACATGAGAGAAACATTCCGCGAATGCAAGTACTGACCAAAAAGCTAACCGCAAACCAATGGTAAACAATCCAACTCTGAGCATGCGCTGGGCACCTCATCTCTACTTAATCCAAGAAGCAGGAGGTACGTCAAAACTCCACAACTCCAAAGGTCTGCCGAGAGATCGTAGCGGCCACTGCAAACCTGCCAGCACCGGGTGGCGCTCTGCTGCTACGGACGGCGCCCGCTCTCCGAATTTGCAATACTTCAGGGAGGATCCATTCGCGTGTCACGGGCCTGAGGTGCCATGTACGGCAGCGTGCCCATCTCAGCTGAGGCATGTGCTGGGAAAAGTCACCAACGGGAAAACTGGATAAAGAATAGGTATGAAGCACACAAAACTGCCGTGGCCAAAAAAGTCCGAATCCGTGCATCCAAGAACTCAAATTTGCAGATGGACTGAAGCAACTCTGGACGAACATGCCGCAAAAACCAATGGACAACTCGGAACAGTCAACCCAACCCTTCCTATGCAGCCATGAAGCCATGCCTCGGAGCTCAGAGCCTCAGGTTGCAGAAGAGGGGAAATCGAAGCCGGAAAAAAAAGAAATGTAACAAACTGTTTATCGATCCCATGCAGCACGTCAATAGAACTCATGTGTAAGCAGGCACGAGGAGCAGCCCTGAAACAGTCCAAACACATGAGGCGAGGATCCAGGCGGGCAAAGTGCTGACAATCCGAAGTCCGTCACCTAGCAGGCTTTGCGGGTACCATGCAGCGTGTGCTGCTCTTTCAGCAGGACTGGCGGAGGAGTCCTGTAAGACGGATCCAAGTTCCATTGAGCGGCTGTAAGTTTCAACTCTCGTCATGTTGGCTCATTTCCGCTGTCTGACGAAGACTTGCATTGAACCCAAGTTTCAGATCCTGACTTAGGATTCGGAATTTAAACACATGTTGAAAGCCCTGCCTTCAGGACATTGTCCTTAATGGGCCTCCGAGTAAGTAGGAGCAAATTCTCCGGTTTCAGATCCCTGTGGCAGATGGCATGGCTGTGGAGATACTCCACAGCCCGGAAGACCTGGCGAGAGCAGGTAGAGTCCCAAAAAAGGTGGGCATCTTTGTGGCAAAGATTTTGCTTGACTGCATAAACAGGGTTCGAGCCAATCAAAAAAATGCTCAGGGCCCAACATGCTGGGTGTTGGACAGTGTGATGTGACTGCAGCTACTGCATGCTAAAGATGTTATATGCCTGATGGTTGCAGCAGACTAAAGCGCAGTACGGTAGAGCATGACCCCCGGCCTGTCGCATCACCAACACTGCCTGCAAGATTCAGCGCGGAGAGACATTGTGGCCAGAATGTTCCAGGCATGCTCGGGCAACAAATAATCTAGAAGTATCGGGGCACCCCCAAATGTCAACACGTCCGCAAAAGAAAGCGCCCCACAAAGTTCCTGCCATTCCAGCATTACTCTTTGATGTGCCAGGCGAGGCGACGGGAACAATAAGTCTTTGTAAAGAACGAAGCAGGGCACGACGATACGCCACGATTGCAAACAGAAGAAACCAGAGGTTTTCTGCATGCTTGGGCCACCCACAGAGACCTTGCAAAAAATGTCCAACAAATTGAACACGAAGCCTGGAAAACAATACCAAACAGCAACGTCGGCAAAAGCTTCCATAATTCTGAGGGGTGCCTTGCTTGGCAACTCTTCGATCATTCGACTTGGCTCTTGTGCTACCCCTGCAAAGCCTGAGCTTCGGAGTGTGTGCCCTGCTCCAGTAAGAAAGACACCTGGGCAGCATGCGATGGATTCTGCACCAAATGAAGGAACCAGGACAACGTTCCGAAACCATGGCTGATGGCCAAGCCCGTTCAGCGCTGCTTGAGCAATCCATCTTGGAAGGCGCTGCAGAATGTCTTCGCAAGAGGTGAGATAAATCACTATAAACGCTGCAAGGTTGCGAGTTCTCCTCCCTGACAGAGCTCCATCACCATATATACGAAGCAATCGTCCTCGTAGGTCTCATAGAGCCTTACGACCTGAGATTTGGAATTTCAACGTCACCATGGTCACTTTCCTGCTGAGAACACTTGTGCGTAACAGACACATGCAACCAACTTCTACGCTTCGGGAGCTTGGATGATGACCTCATCGAGTCTGAAGGCCGCGACACCCGCTTGAGATTTTAGCACTTCTTAAGGGGGTCGTTCAAGCGGGGTAGGTAATCTAGTGTTGCTCCCTCTTGTTCATTGGTGCCTACGTGCCTCCCTTAAGGACATGGTAAGTATTGCTTCTGCTGTGACATGGGCATCTAAACGCCTCTGGATGCGTGCTGCCCTTTTTTCGCAATCACCTCTGCTGCTCCTCACTGTAACTTCTTTTTGGGTTTGGAGGGCTGTGCAGTCTAAATACCTGGGCTGCATCTGCACAAGCGAGGTGTAATCATTGCACTTGCATCGGGCGGAACATTTGTCCCTCTGTTAGCGTGCCCAGTGGTGTGAGGAAGATTCCAATCCACTTGCAACCTTGGCATCTACCATGTTGACGATGACTTTATGCCCTGGGGTATGAGGCAAAGGCAAAGCAATTCAAACAACCTTGAAATGCCTTGGCCCTAGTCGCCCACACCCTGGAGCCGAAATTGTAAACACACCTGATTAAACCCTAACCTAAATGCTAAAAACCTAAATAAACGCATATAAACGCTGAAACCCCCTTGAATCCTGAACACCCTGTGACCCTGAGTGCTCGAAAATTATCACATTCAGGCCTGCAGAGGCAACAAATGATTTCCACGGCATTAAATAGCGGCCAGTGGAGGTCGCAGGGCTGCGACTGCACCGAATGCATGGCGCGCAAGTAGCGGGGAGTGGAGTTCTGCGCCTGCACCGAATATGTCCGCCCCCAAATAGCGGCCAAAGGAGGTCTCAGGCTTGTGTGTGCGTCTTCTTCGCGATCACGCAGCTCAAAATCTAGAGCTGAGCATGGCCCAGTGTTGCCACCGCCAGAGGCAAAAACTATCCTGCGGTTCCCTCAGGTCTTTTTGGACCGTGACAGAAGCACAAAGCTAGTTCTCAAAGCTTTTCTTAGACAATGGGCAAGGCCGCCCTCAAGTCCCTGAAGCAACTATTCGTTGAAATAGTCTCAAAGACTCGCATACAGGCTTCAACTCACCTGTTCGGAATGGAGCCAGAGCTTGTTGCGCCTTCCTATTCAGCTCAGAAATGTTGATCTTGAAGCCCATGTTGGATCGACTATCATATAAGTGTAAGATAGTGTAAGAATCTTTGTACGTATTGGTCGACCTATTTGCTCTGGGTTTGCCTGCTCCCCCTGCATATTCAACGTGGAGCATAGCTTGCAGCATGGGATCTGCGGGTAGCGATCTTAAAAAAAGTGTCCTGACAAAGAATTGTTCCGTCTCTGCCGTGTTTCTACCAGTCTTGCATGTGTAGAAAAGTTCGCATAAAAATCTACTGTTGGATGGCACACTCAAGCCGACACGCGAGAGTGTTTTGGCCACTATTGCACTTATCGCGTCTCGTCCACTGTGGGACTCGTTCAGGCTAGCGATTTGTAGCCGAAACCCTCTGATGGCAACACACCTCACAAGCACATGAGCGCATGCGAAGTGCAGAAACACTCAGTGACAAGCATGATTTTTGCGCGCATAAGAATCAGAGCCCAACCCGCCCGCCCATGCTCTGTTGCGCAAGCTTGGGAAATGCGCGCAAAACTAATGCTTGTCACTGAGTGTTTCTGCACTTCGCATGCGCTCATGTGCTTGTGAGGTGTGTTGCCATCAGAGGGTTTCGGCTACAAATCGCTAGCCTGAACGAGTCCCACAGTGGACGAGACGCGATAAGTGCGATAGAGGCCAAAACACTCTCGCGTGCCGGCTTGAGTGTGCCATCCAACAGTAGGGTGTTTGCATCAATGTCGTGACGATTATGGCTCGTCCATTCTCGATCCGCCTGCCACGTGCAATGCATCTATGCGGTCTAACTTATCCACTGGGCTAATTGTTCACTTCTAGACCGTACAACACCCTGGTAAAATGACAACAGAGTTTGAGAACCTAAGCTGTCATGCTTTAGCTGTTTTATGTGCTGGACCAAACCTATTGTAGCTGATTCCCAGTAGCATTTGTTGTTCAAGATTTCTTTGCCCTCAACTGCGATAAGTCTTTGCTGTGCACTATACGCATTCGTACCCCCATAAACTTCAAGGAGGATTGATGCTGACGTATAGTTTCATTGCCAAACTAAGCCGAGTCAGGCTGTACCGTAGATTGTAAAATAGCGATGCAGCCCGTATCGCATGTGAACGCTTGTTTATAGTGCGAGTACCAGTCTCAGAAAAAGCAGATCATCAGCATGCTTGATCGAACCATTCACGTTGCTGGAGCTCAGAGCCTCCTTTTTACGCAGCTCTGCACGGAGGATTCACAAAGTCTCACGGCCGTGTGCATTAAGACAGGAACAGTCGCTACCCAACCATAAATTCGGGAGGGTGGGCGGGCCCTCGGAGACTTCATGTCATCCAGCTGTGTATGAAGCTTGCACAAGCTCTACCAATCGCGCGACCTGACTTATGAGGTCTGCTCGCACCACAACTTCTTTGCAGGCCGGCTCACAAAGGTCTGCTAAGCGAAGGACTTTGGCTTTGGTTGCAGGATTCAGCTGATCCATCACATTTAGGCACCCCAACTCTTGAATATAATGAGCCAACGTCTTGAAATGCAACCAACGGCCTCTCCACTGGAGACGAGGAAGATCCTCGTGCCATTCTCTAAACCAGTACGTTGCTCCACCAGGTCTAAGAGAACTAGGCAAGATTAACTTGGGGTGCTGAGTAACCGCCTGCAGAACCTGTTGGAGTCTGGTCCGGAGTGTTGTTGAGGAGAAAGCCCAGATCTTTTCGTGAGGATTCATGACCCTGAAACACTTCTTTAAAAAATCTACTACGAAGGGAACATCCAATCTTACGGTTTGCATCTTGGCCCCTCGGGTTCGACTTTTGACCAGTTGAAGGCGAAGGAAGATTGCATCGTTGTACCCAGTCTCGGATGCCAGCAGACAATCGCTGACTTTCAAGGCAATGAGCTCGCAGGGCCGCAGTAAGTCGTAAAAGCCGATCAACAACATCATGGCAAGACGGTTCCACTGCCACGCCAACGCTGTTACCACCAGCGCCTTCAGCAACGGTAGTGGAACTGGAGGATGAAGCTTGCCCGGAAACAGGCTCTCCCACATTGTCAACAGCTGCCAAGGTCCCGCCAGAAAGGTTTTCAGATACGGGAATCGCTGGATCACAATGTTGATGGTTTCGGCGTAGTTGCGCCGAGGAGCGCCCTGTTCGTACAGCACTCGCCCATACTCCTCCAGCTGAGTGGCCAACTGGATGGGGTCCCATCTGGCGACCTCCGGCAGCGGATTCATCTCCGGGTTTTCTAAAAGCATCCATTCCTGGAACTCTTCTAGGAGACGTTGTCTGTTTGCCGCCGTGGTCTCCGTAACTCGCCCCCGATCCAGATCCAGCCGGTTTCTCGGTAAGCCTGGAGGCCTGGGTCCAAGCACTGACTGAGTCAAAGTTGCCAGACACAGCAAAAAGGGCGGCCTGCCCCAAAAGGAGCCATCTGCCCCATGAACAAGGCACCCCAGAACACTGATCAAGCAAATCCTGCGCCATGGACTTTCGACCATGTTTCAGGGCCACAAACCACTTTGGAAGAGCAGCTCGTGACGGCTTCACCCGCTTACGTCGAGAAGGATCATCTGCTCGCAATGCCCAGGTTGGACAGTGAATCCCTACGGGATAGAGGTTTTTGGCCAATTGCAATGCCATACTTTTGCGAAGGATTCTGTTGAGGGCTGCGCTAGAGCTACGGCCTTTGGCATTAGCCCCGAGGGTTACAAGGGAATCCTGGAACACTACAATGCGATGATCCATGGGTGAGAGCTGCATAAGGGTCTTGTGCGCATGCGCTTCTAACAAATTGATATGGTTTGGCTTGAGAAAGCGATATGCCCTACGAGTCTTCCAAGGCAGAGCCTCCGCTAGCTGAGTTGACCACAGGTGGGACACGAATCTCTGACTTCCTTTGTGGTCCCTGAGTTCCCCTGGCAAACCATTCAGACTGTTAGAATGCGCTGCTGCACTCTCACGCGTTCGCTGCACATCTTTTGCCACTTGGAACGCCAACTCTGCAACTGCGGCGCACAAAAGCTGGGGATACTCGGCAACCTGGGACGTTCTACTGCCCTGTAGCTGCTCGTGATCCTGAGTACAATTACACCGCCTACAGAGGGATAACCATCTAGAAGATGTAGCAAGGAGTCCAGTGGGCTTGGGGTAAGGGGTGCCATACCTACATTGGTCCAACCTACCTTCAAACCCTAAGTCCTTGCAGCACTTCCAGAAGGGTAATTTACGGGAGAACGCGCTCCACGGCGTCTCCACGATCGCCTCATTCTCAGCATCTTTCTGAGTAACAAACAACGTCAAAGACAAGTGCAAGTGCAAATTGCCTACGGCGGTGTCAGGGTTGAACACGTCAAACCCTTCAGGCAGCTGAGCACTACGGAGGCGAGGAAAACGTGCTAACGAAAATGTGGTACATGGCGGTCCTAGCCACAACAACCCTATCCGTCCCTCCTTACTGAGCTGAAGTAGCAACAGAAACAATGATTCCGAAGCCATATCCCAGCCCTGCTTCAGCTCGATAGGAGGACCCACGCGGAATCCCAAAGCACACATGGATTTGGAAAGCTTAGCTGAGCCCGCATAGATTTCAATGAAATCCACCTCAAACTGCCACGTCAAAGACGAGCCGAAGTGCAAGCTACTGCGGCACAGCTTCTCCAGCAAAGGTTGCAACTCGACCCGCACATGCAGCTCAGAGCTAATGCTAGGGTCCCGCGCAGAAAGGGCGATGAGGCTCGGACATGAACCGGTGGTTACAGGAGGTTCAGGTTCCATGGGGCATTCTCCGTTGGAGGGCCAAAATAAAGGTTCCTCAGGGGCACTGCCAATCTCTTGAAGGGAGGCACTAGGGGAAGATAACAACTTGGTGTAAAAACCCCTTAAGTCAGCCCTTCGGAACAACTCCTCTGACACAACACCACCAACTTCCGCCGCAACTATTCCAGCGCCCTCTGGTGAGGCATCTGTGGCATATACCGTTGGCAAGACCTGTGCTTTCAAATCGGTCGAGGCCAGCAGGCCCAGACACGCAACTATCAGAAGTTCCTGCTGCAAAAGGCGGGGCATTCTGAAGGGTTCATGTGCCAAGCCTAAAGGATGACCCGTTGTGTAAGCTTCCTGGAAAACCAAAAACAAGGGGCGCCTAAATTGCAGAGCAAAAGCCCAAAGTCCCAAAACCTTCTGCAACAGGTGTTCTGAGCATATTCCACTGGCAGCGAGGCGTGCCGTCTCCAGACATAAACAGACTAGTTTGGATCTATCCATACTCACAACCGCAGCATCCCCATCAAAATGAGCCCCCCATGCCTTGAACTCTGAGGCGCGCCGGAGGCACTTCTTCGGGTGACTTTCCAAACCACTAGCTGTATATGCTTTGGAGGCTAGAGGGCAAGCCTGAAGATCGCGCTCAAGTGGGCGAATGTCTGGCTTGTTTGCTGGAACATGTTGAGGGAACACCTGGAGAGAGAGTTTATCATCAATGCAAACCCCAGAATAATGACCCATAGGAGCCCTAGGGCAAGGGAAGCCCAGCCTAAGATGCTCATCCTCCCGCAAGGCGCCAGCATTCCTAAGAAGCTGTTCATGAGCCACCTGCTCTATAGCCGGTGCCCAGTGATCCCCCATCGAAAGCCCAGCAAAACATGTGTACACCCGGGTGCTTGGATTGATCCTGACATCCGGACGGCGCAACTGCAAAGCAGCTAGAGCCTTAGAGCCCAGGAAATCCCTGGCAAACCAAAGAGGACCAGCGGGTGTACTCAGTGCTCGCTCAGAAGAAACCTGAAATTCATGGTAATAATTGCGAAGATCGTCAACACAGCCACGGATACACCCTTGCGTTGGGACCACAAGTCCCAGGAACACGCTTGCATGGCCCATTTTGGGGGTATCTTTTGGAGGTGGGCTTTCAATGGCATTACGTGGCCTACGGTCAATGATCTGGCGAAGTTCCCCATCAGGCTTCTCTAAACAGAACAAATTAGAAACCAACCCCGGCTCAACTTCTGATTCCAAAGCTAGAGCAAGGCGTTCCACTGCATCCCACCTCCAAGTCAAATGCCAGAGTTGACCCCGGCTACAAACTGTCGGTGGCAAGACCGCTGGCGCTAGATCAGGTTCCATCAAGCTGTTGGGACATGAGTAGGCCGAGCGGAAGGGTTCAGGAAGTAAAGGGGTAGGATCAAAACCGCGCAGCTCATGTGGAAATGCAACCTGATCTGCTACCAACGGTACAACAGCAGTGGCAGTGCCTTCGGTTGGGGAAGTATAACTTTGCTTAGCTGAACCATAAACCAAATCCCTAAGGGACGAAAAAGAACTCAAAATAGGCTAATTCAGACTGTACACTAGCAAGCTTGGCGCCGCTACCAATCGGGAAGTCCCCAACCAGGCGGCACATCGAGCGCGTCCTTTCAAGCAGGCTTTGCACCAATGACATCTGCAACCCCCGGGGACTCCCTCTGCAACCCTTTGCGGGACAACAAAGGGGAGAACCCAAGAACGAAAAGTTCAAAGCACAAACCTGCAAATTGACCATCAACTCCAGAGCCCGTCGCTTACGAAACCTTGTCCGGCGCCTGGACCCTCTAGGGGAGGAGGTATATTCCCAAGCAAAGGGAATGCAAAAGCTCCGCGGAAGTTGCCTCCGACACAACAGTCCGCTTATATGTGCTGCGCATAAAGCATCCAAAATTGGTGCGGGAAGCCTTCAGCGTACTGTACAACACATGAGGCATATCCCACCACTGGCTTGGGCCCGAAGGCCTCACTTCTCTGGGGCCTCTTGGCCCCCCTTGCCCCTTCCGCGCCCTTTGGGAGGTTTGTCTGGGCGCTCCGGTTCGGGCCTCCGCGACGACGAGTGAGGACCTCTTCGTCCTTCAACTTGGCCCCGTGCCGCAGCCCACGTACCATGCACCAGCCTGCTGCGCGCGTGGTCCTGGCGGAGTTGTCCGATCATGCCCTCCTTCGACTTCCACTCGGCGAAGGGAGGAGGGGTAAGATGGGTCAACCGCCAAGCGGCACCCCAACTCCCATCCAACTTGTACTGCTCGATTGAAGCCACCAGCAGGAGAAGGATGAGATGAGCCTTGTCCACCTCGCCAGCTTTCAGCATCGTGAGGGCACGAACCACTCCCCAAGTCACGTAGCCTAAAGTGCGTTCGGACCCCAACGGGAGCATGTCCCGGGCAAACTTCTCCAAGGTCATCGGACCGGCACGCGGCTCGCCTAAAGACTGGGCCGCAAGATTCTCCATGGCCGTGATGTATGCCTTGGGGTCGCTGTCCATGGCCAACCGCAGCTTCTCGAGCAGCATCGGTCCTTTTGCACCAGAGAGGCGCCGAAGAGGATCCTGACCCTCCTCGTCGGAATCGGACCCGGTGGCATCCAAAGGTAGTCCGGGTCCTCGCTGCTTTTTCTTCTGCTTGCTGGACGGATCCAGGACCGTCAACAAGGCGGCTTTCAGGAGTTGATCCAGCGGCTGCTCTTCGGCGGCCGCCACGTCGTCCTCGTCGTCTTGCTCGAGGTCTTCCACAGCAGTCGGGGACACCAGCTTGGGCTTGCCAGTCTGACGTGTCTTCGATGCAGGTCCCACTAAGTCCAAGGCCTTGGTCAACGCCGGAGCCGCCGGAACCTGGGAACCTGAAGGTGCCGGACCCCCTTTTCGCATGCCATCCATCTCTGCCTGGAGCTGGGTCACCATGCTGGCTGTCTGCTGCATCTGAGTAAGCAACTGGTTCATCAAATCGGCATCCATGGTGGGGAGCTTCGGCGGCCGTTTGGTAGCCATCGCTGCGCGGACCCTCCCCATTGAACACCCATAGTCGAGCAGCACTGGCCAGCTGATCGTAGTTGAGCGTGTGAAGCACCTCCTCGCCATTTTGGGGCCACATCACATTGGCCGGCCATTGGGGGTTGGCACCCCCTCCCAGGAGATAGCGATACAGCACCTGCGGCCAATCCACCAACACCATGTCGACCTCGACGCTGTCGGCCTCCTCGTCGTCGGGGTAGGCTTCCACCTGCACCACCGAAGTTGGCCCAAGGTCCTCGCTGATGTTGGCCACACGCTTGACCTCTAGTTCCTCCTCCGTAAAGAAACCCGAAGCCACCGCCAGCAGGAAGCCACCAACTCTGCGGAGCACTGGCACCGCTGCAGCCTCCCGGCCTCCAAGACGCAGCAGCAGCCATTCCGGACTCGAAGATGACTCGGCAATCTCAAGCCCAGCAGCGCGACGCACCCCAAGGGCACGCCACGGCATCACTGCACTGATGGGAGGTCGGGCAGGCCGAAACCAAGACAGAAAGCCTCAGCTTCGGCTTGAGAAGGAAAGGCCACCAGTTTTGTGGCACGCTCCTTCTTGAGGATCTTGTCTGCCGCCCGCTTGCGGTTCACACACCAGGCTGAGCCGTCCACTCGTAGGCCCAACCAGCAGCTATTTTGCAAGCCGATGCTTGCAGGACGCACAAGGTCCTCGGTCTGCAAGTTGCGCAGACTGGAATCCACACCAGCCTGCCAAGCAGACTGAATCCTCTGGGCAGCACCTGTTATCGCGGTACGCGAGCTAGGGCGCTGTGCCAAGCGATCTCGCACAGCTGGTTCAAGAACAGGAGGTGGCGGGGGAGCTTCCTCCACCACTACCCACTCCGAGGGTGCCTCTTGCTCAGCAGGGGCAGTAGTGACCTCAATGACCACGCGCACTGAAGGGGCAGAGCCAGTTGCCTTTGGTCCCATCCACTACTGGCGCCGGTAACCTGCTAGCCTATCCTCTACTGCAGTGACAGGCGGTGGCCTCACTAGTTCCCTAAGGAGAGTGAGGATGACAGCCCGACAACGAGCAGAAAGAATTATAGTAGCAATTGAGGCCCCGCAAGCAACCCCGAACAGCCAACAGACCAAAGCTAGGAGGATGCTTTCGGACAGACTAGTGCGAGGGCACAGGTTAGACCACGCCACTAAGTTGCTGAGGACCACCTGCCACATCTGAGCACGAAAGGAGCTCCAGCAGATAAAGCATGCATAGACATACATTGCTTCAGAGTATGGAAGCCTTGGGTGGGTTTTGGGTGGCACGCCAGGCCACTAGGCCACTAGGCCTAAAATCTGCCGGTCTGGTCCAGGGCGGCGCCGGTATCCACCCCAACACCAAGCCGAAATCTACACGCGATTCGGGGATTTTTGTTCCCCCAACACCCCCCAAATCAGCAGCATGGGCACAGACCGTTTTGAAAACTGGCCCCAAAGCCTGTTTTGTAAAAATGGAGAAACGGACTGCCAGTGGTGCTGGGATGCTGGCCTTCTTGGCCAGTTCATGGAGGGTGGGATGCTAGAACCACAGAGGAAGTCATGAGTCTTTGCTACTTCGGGCTTCCATGGAAGTATGATTTAAAAAAAAAACTGTTGACAGGCGTGTGATGGTTTTATGCGAGTTTTCTTTAGGTTTTAAGCCGGTTATGGGATTTGCGTAGTTTTGCGGGCTTTTCAGAACTGCACAGGGGCTCCGGTGGCTTGAACAACGGCTTTTGCGGGAGAGCTTTCTAAGCAGCAGGAACAGCCCAACCATACGAGCGCATGACCAAAACATCAGGTGAGTAGCGAAATGGACCCAATTGTGCTAATGATGCTCGTGTGCGAGGCGCGTGCGCCCCACACGTCAGCATCATCAGCACAATTGGGGTCCGTTTTGCCACCCTAAAAAAAGCACTTTCAATTATTTGAGCCCGTGCTAATAAGCTTCCCCCAACACACGGAAGGATTTCACACCGCAAGATCGACTGCGAGACAGCGTGGGAGACAGGCAGGCCTTAGACACGCCAGCACGTCATCGCAGGCGACGCCAGATGGTCTGGAAGAGACTTTCGTGCGAGGCTTGTATGCGAGAAGAGAGCGCGGAGCGTATGTGGAGACGGCTTGTCAAACGGAGCCATGGGAACCTCGCGAGAGGATCATAGAAGTTCCTGTGAGGGTAGGGGTCCCAATCAAGGTCCCGTCTCGAGAATCGGCATTGCTGAGAGATTTCAATCCTGTGGAAGGTGACCTGGTGGTGTCGCAGTTCGGAGAACATCCTCCCACCTCGATGACATGTGAGGGTTTAAGAAAATCGACGTCACGACTGCAAACCTTGGTGCCATGCCTCCAGCTCTTCACACGTCAACGGGCCTTTAGGAGACTTTCAGGCACAAGAAGCGGCTGAAGTTTTGTCTTTGTCCGTTCGGAAGATCCAAGCAGGAGTGGAGAAGAGTGCCACTTCCGTTGGGAGCAAGATGCATGTTTGTGCGTCGAATTTTGCTGCAGGACGAGGCTACGTTGACATGGTCCTTGGGTCGTAACTTCCCACAGAAGGGCATAGGCCCTATGTTGGATTCCTTATAAAGAAGCATAACTTTGTACAGAGGAAGCACCGGGTACAGCGCGTGCTCATGAGGGGATCATCAACTTCAGCTTTTTGTTAAAAAAAAAAAAGGTATCAATTCGACTGTGTGCGCCATGGTTCTCAACTGCTGTGTCTAGAGAAGCAGCAGACTACATTCATCGAACATGAGCAAACAAGATGATAGCCATCAGCAATGGCTGTTACTCTTGCCGTTGCTGTCTTTTGTTGTGGCTGAGAAGGCGGCAGGGCCGGCCCCTGGCGCTGCTGGCTGCACAGGGGGTGCACCGCTGCCCACCCCCGACCAGCATCATCGGACCTCTGCTCCTTGCAGGACCCCCCTGCTCCAACACCAAGCCAAAATCCACGCAATTGAAACGAATCCCCCCCGTGCTGCGGAGGAAGGTTTCGGGTGTCCTCAGGACCCCTGCAAATCAGCATCATGAGCAAGGACCATTTTGAGAAAAAGGGTGTCGCTGGCCAAGCGGGCCAGCATCATGATGATGCTGGCCAAGCGACCAGCATCATCAGCATCATTGGGGTCCGCTTCTCCTTTTGCCAGGCTTCTGGGCTGTCCGTCAGGGGTTGATGACGGAACCAGACGAGGAAATCCCTCATTTGGGTCCACAAAAGACCACAAAACCGGGCCCAGGGATTATACTCTCGTTCAGCACTACCATTACGACCCCTCGTGCTTTTACTATGAGGTACTTCTTGTCCTGTTACTTGCTGCCCCTGTTGCTCTTGTTATGGCTGTTTTTGCTGCTGGCTACGAAGGCGGCAGGGCCGCCCACGCTGCTAGGCCTGGTGACCCCGGAGTTTGTGTTGTTACGAGCATGCTACATTGGGATTACTTGGGCTCCTTCGAGACCCCTTGATTGATACTTCCATCGAGCAATGCTGCAAACCACAGCACTGATCCCTGAATAAGACCTCTCAGCCCACACACATCCCACAAACTAGCAAATGCTGATTGCGTGGACGGCTCCAACTCCAACCATATAAATTTGTGTTGGCGACGACAACATACTCTCCCAGCTGCCACCATGCAGCATTGTCCCCGTTGTGCACCAGCTTCATGATCGAAACCTCTCACAGCTGCTTTATGGCTTACCACTATGAGGCTCTTTTTCAAGACCACCCTTCTCCCTCGTCTGTCTTTCAGCGCAGGCCTGCAGAATCCCCTGCAAGCATGCGTGAGCCCGCCAAGTCTGTTAACGTTCATGTTGTGAAGCCTTTGGCGATACGGCTGCAGCGCACCGTCTCAGAAAGCATCACCAAGTCTCTTGAGCTTCTCATTCACATTTTTCTAGTCATTGTCATGTGGGATCTCGCAGCGTAAAGAACTTAGAGACCGCGACAACGGTAGCACCCGAAACCCCAACTCCACCCACCTGGAGCTATGTGTAAGTAACACCTTCTACCAGCCTGCCCGAAGACCATGCCAAGATGAGAAGCCAAACCCTGATGTCGAGGCCTCCTGCTGCAGCCGCTCTTTGTCGCGCCGCCGCAGGTTTCGGCTGGCTGATGTTGGCAGCTTGGGCATAGACTGCGAGGGGCTGCAGAAGGGCTTTCAGAGGGACTGCTGTGCAAGGTTTAGGCAAAGAGGAATGGTGCGCGCACCTCTCTGACCTTGAGGTACGTGTGCGGACCAGGCACGGGGCTTGGGAAACAAGCGCGTGTAATACGTCAAGTTAGGTTGCCATTCCATTGCATGCAATCATGTCTTGCAAGACTTGTTATAAAGGCCTTGATGGCAACACGCTCGCCGCTCTTGGCAGAAATCGCCTCCCAAACGGAACAAGCTAACAGGCAGTATCTTTATTGGGCAGTGCAGAGCAAGAAAGCCCGTGAAGGTGCAAACGCTCAATCTGCTCTTCACTTACTTCAGTCTTGTCAGCACAGGACCACTCACTCCCACAAGAATTTGTTGACATGTTCAGGCATCATTACGGAGACCAGGATACATCAAGCCGTGCAGTACCGACTGCCATGAGGACTGGCAATCCTTTGATGCCTGCGCAACAAAGCCGAAGCCGCCGGCACCTGTGAGGTCAGAGACTTTCATGCATGATGGTCAGCAACCAGTAGTTGGTTTGGAATTTAGCAGCCAGCTGCGTGGCAGGAGGAAGTGGAGTGCAGAGCTGACATCACATTCAGCCGCTTGAGAAGTGCCAGTCTAAAGCTAACCTGACCTGGCAATACAGCACACCGCTGTGGACTGCAACCTTCTACGCTTATGAGCTGCATTCCAATCGCCAAACCAAATGCCTGATTTGTTGATCATTCCAATCCTTTCATGCAGAACTCCTTGAGTGCCAGCCAAGAGGCTGATCTTGGAGCCTTGTCTGACATAGTTTGTCCATACACAACCTCCGGCAGAAGGAGTGACTGTCAGTGTGCGGCGAGGCTTTGTGTTCTGAACCCATAGAAAGACTTTCAATTCCTCAAGCTTTTCATTAATTAAACCAAGAAGGATGAACGAAGTGTTCAAAGTTGCTTGCCCCACTCTTGATCCATAGTCATTTGGGCACATCGACTTTTTAAGTTGGCCGTGAAAAAGCTGGAGGAAGTTACCTGAGTCCTTCAGACTGCTGCCCGCGAAGAGTTGGCAGTCCCGAAAACACCCGATATGCAAATCATGACGGTTCGAGGTACAAGTCGGCAGCCGTCTTCACAAACCTTCAGCCAAAACAAACCATTGACCACTGCGGTATAGTGGACATCCTGCACATTCCTGCACGCCCTGCCTTTGCCGCCCTGCAAGCCAAGATCTGAACAACACTGCACAATCTATCAGAACCCGTACGTTATCGACAAATCCCGATGAACCTGGCCCCCGCCCCCATCACTGAATAGCCTTGGGAAGTACTTGTCGACCACGGATCTTTGGCCATGGCACAGATGCACAACAAAGCCGAATTCTTTTTTCACCACTGTTCGCCTCCTGCTGAACGGCCTCCATAAGAACGGACGTTGGTCAGGATGCCATAGACCGGCCACAGGACATCAACAAGATTACGTCTCAACAGAACGTCTACAGAGAACTCAATTTCTAAGATTCCGAGCGCCGTGGCATCATGCAACAAGTGTCATTTTGATTTCACTGAGCCGATACGGACAAAATTAGGAACTTAGCTTCCAGGGCCTGGCCAAGAGCAGGCAAGCAAGATACTTTTTGACACCGGGTGACACTTTGCTTGGCAGGGACTGCGATCCGCGACTGGCAAAGCAGTGCTGATGATCTAGATGGGCGCGTGTTGCTGTCCAAATCTTCCCAGCTTCTTTGGATCAGCACATGCCCTGACGAGTCCAGAGCTGAAACTCCGCAAATTCAACCCTGGACAAAGGTCTGAATTCTGAG